TAGAGATAGTGTCTGTCTCCTGAATCCAAACTGGAAGCTGGTTCCACAGAAGAGGGGCCTGAAAACTGAAGGCTCTGCCTCCCATTCTACTGTTAAACCACCAGTAACCAACTAGTCTGGGAGCACAGTGCTGTACTGTACGTCAGGCCTTTTAGATAAGATGAGCCAATGAGGAGAAGCCAATATGAGATAAATGTGTAATGTAAATAGAAATGGTCACAGAACCCAGTGAAACTCCATAATTATCCTGAAGAAGACTCCCCATTATATGCAGTTTTAATTCCACTGACTAATAATTTTCATCAGTTTCTGTCAAAAACCTTTTTCTAATGAAAACTAACGCAGAAGGGCAAACTGTCATTTTAGTGTTTAGTCAGAATGCTAAAATGAAATCAAGTTGTCAGTGTTTTCACTGTTCACATCAGATTCAAACCCCTGCAGCGCCGGACCTTAAACACCGAGGACGTGCTCCACACAGTATTTCGCTGCATCAGCTCGCTCAGTCACAGCTGGCCAGATGGGATTTGCTTGTTGAAAGTTGCTAATAGGTAATGTTAGTGAGCCTGTTAATACATCTTTTGCTTATTATTCTGTTATTATATCACAACTATCTGCTCATTGATTTATCTATTTTATGTTTTTTTAAATGTGTTTATTGTGATGTCGCAGATTTGCTGAACTAAATTTTGTTATAAAGTCACAATAAATGAACGTATTAATGATTACTGTGTTTATTTTAATCCTAATCTCTTATTAAGTCTGTTGTCTTTCTTGCTACACGTGCTTATTGTATCTGTTTAAGTGTAGCTTCCACACAGTCACACACCCACAGATTCGCTGTGGTGCCGTCAGTCTTACTCAGTTACTAAATTCCTGATCAGCGCCCCCCTGGCTGTTCCATCTGATTTGAAGTGATGGTGTTCTGGTGGCACCATCTCTGTGTGCCTCAGAATAAAATGTACACTGAACACCCACACACAGACACACACACACACAGGGATGCACGCACTCATGCACTATAGCTTTCCAGCAAACCCTCAGTTGGTCCCTTTCTCTCTAATTAGTAATTAACACGTTTTTTGCACAGGCCTTTATTTATAGGCCGTCTCTTGCCAAACAGAGTACCGGTGCCAGGATCAGATGGAAGTGGAGCATGAGGTGAGCAGGGAGTCCAGACCGCTTGATAAATACACTGTAATGGTTTGGGATTAATTGACTGATCAGTCACACAACATGCAGCCACTTTTTAAATGAGTGGGTTCATTCACATTAAAGTGGCGTCATTAAAGCCACTGTTGGCCCCACTCTGCTGTTACACTTCATCTCTAACATGGATACGTCTGACATTTGAACAAAAATGATGAACACAAAGAGTAGTTTCAGAACTCCCCTCACTCTCAAACAATAGCCAACGTTTCTGCACATTTCAATGTTATGAAATAATTATCAGAATTACACATTTGACCTTTCTTTCTCTGCACAGTGTCTACAGTGGCTATGTGCTGACCACCACAACCACCACACGCTGTAAGCTTTGAGCTTAGGCACAGCTGACCCATCTCTCTGGGGTCTTAATCTGGGCTACTCTGGGCACTTAGGGCTCAGTTACAGCACTAATAAATAAATATTAGAAGCTGGGTTTACATCTCACTGTGCCCGTGCACATGCAATGAATGTACTTCAGGATAACAGCTGGATGAAACCACATTGTTTTTCTGTTAGATCCTATTACATGTTCGAGGGTCATTCTGTCCAGGACGAGCTCTGAAAGCTGATCCTGTGGTGTTGCCAGAGTTAACAATGATGTGAATGATGTGATTTGTTAACAGGTGTCTGCGATGTGAAACAGCAAATCGCTAAATACAAAAACTAAAATCTCTTAAGTTGCTTCTTAAGCAACTTAAAGAAGTCCAGATGCTTTTCTTTCCAAGCTCCTTAGACTACGATGACCTGGATGACTGAGAACCTTCACAGACATAAAATCTCTGAAGCACTCTGAATTGTTGTGGTATCAAAAAGAGAAAAACTGGGGTTAAAAAGTGTTAAAATGAGCTTTAGAGCTCTTAAAAGTTTTTTTCACCTGTGATCAGTCTTATTGCTACGTTCATGAAATGTTAAATATGACACAGTCAGCACACGTGTGTCCTCGTGTCCTGGTCAGGTGACCCAGTGTTTGTGTTTTCTGGTCACACTCTGTGCTGTTTTCTGCTAATGCTAGATTTACAGTCTTTAGGTTTCTTCCTCTGCTCCGTGTTCCCCCTGTCAGTCATGTCTCCATGTCACAGTGTCGAGTCCACGTCTTTGTGAATGTCTCGTGTTTCCTGTTTTATTTTGACAGTCCTGTGTTCCGTGTTTTCAGTTTTGCTTCCTTGTCTCATTTTGTCAGATTAGTCCCAGCTGAGTTTCCCTCCTGTATCTCCTGTTATCCTTTGTGTTTCCTCTGCCCGTTGTCGTGTCGTCCCATGTAGCTGTGTGTTCTCCTGTGGTCCTTGTCATCCTCTTAGTTTCTAGTTTTTTGCGTTAGGTTTTATTTCCCTGTACGGAGTATTTTAGAGAAATAAAGCTGCCTCTCTCAGTTCGCGAGTCCACATCCTGCCTGCTACAGCACCAGACATGACAACATCTCACTAACTTGTCTTTGCAGTCCTAAACCAGCACACTTTTATGTCTCCACAGAACTTCTGGTTACTGAAAACGGAGGATAGAAATAATATGTTTTTCATTTACTGCTGAATGTGTGCCTCACCTCTATTTAAAACATCTTTTGGTGTCACTCACTTCCTCACACACACACACACACACTTCTGTGAGAGTGATAATCAGGCTGGATGGCTGATTCTTTTCATAAATTTTAGTATCTCCTTATTTCAGGCTTTGCTGCCTCTTGACTGCCATTAGTTCCCCACAGGTGACAGAGCTGATCTCCATTGCACGCCACTCCTTTTTATGAGGTTTCCCTTCACTCACAGCACTGGTGCCTACTACGTGTCCTAGCTGGGGTTTTAATATAAGGACCGAGCCATTCTGCCTTCGGGATGCCTACCTCTTGACATTTATCATTTATTCTGACATAAAATCATTCTTTAAAGAGGTTCTGTGGAACTGCTTCAAGGTGATAAAATGTTTACCATCAGAAAACATCATCTTGCAAATGATGGACAGAGAGTCCAAGGAGGAGTCCAGGGAGAACAGGAACTCAAGGACCATTAAAAGGTTTCACGTGTCCAGTCTTAACGCCGATCTGCCAACAAAACAGAAACAAAATCACATAAAACACATATCTAAACAGTCCCAACTAAAGCTATAGGTTCATCCCACAGGCACAACGGCTAAAAGTCCTAGTAACTCAAGAAGGAAATTATCTAAGACGTTCACATTTACACCATACGTGCTGGTGGGCACCAGTGCAGCTGAGGAGCAGCACTGGTGCCCACCAGCATTTTCATGTTGGGATGCTGACTCACCATCTTTGTGGAGGGTCTGAGGTACTGGCAATAGCTTCCTCCAGCAGGATAATATTGTTACATCTTCTCAAAAAACACAACAAAGAGTCCGAAGTGTTGACCTTCAGATCTCCAGGTCCTTAGCTTGATCAGCATTCATGGGATGTGCTCGTACCAACCTGTTCCAAAAAGGCCCCGCCAGGTAAACCCACAGGGCTCAAAGGATCTGTGGTCCTAAAGCCAGACCCCACAGCGCCAGCAGAGGATGAGGAGGACAAATGTCAACAAAAACTAGAAAAAAATTAACCTGTTAACATCCTCCATTGGGTGACCAGTTTCAGCAACCATCTATCTGACAGATGAGCGAGCGGCTGCTGTCAGTTACATAAAAGTTCCCGTGTAGCTTTGGACTGATCCACCATGTTTCTCATGATCATTTGAATCATTTCCAGATAATCACACAGTCACCGAGCTTCTTGCTGATGGCCCATTCCAGCTCTAAATGGTAATTTAAAATGAGCTTATCAATAAACTAATAAACAGCAGACAAATGCAATAGTTCCTCCACCACAGGAACACAAAAAGACAGAATTAGCGAGCGAGATTAAGATGTGTGTACATGCAGCTCAAGGTGAAGAACTTACAGCTTTCAACAAATCACAAAAATATTTCCAACAGGAAACATGGTAAACCACGAGGGAGATAAAGCAGGTTTAAATGTTTGAGATTGTGAGGCAGGGAAACTTGACGTTGTTGAACAGTGAAGTGTGTTTCTGTGTATTACAACCAAGGCAACATTAGGAGCTGGGATGTGCCCATCCCAATTCATCTGTCAAAGTCATT